TATAATGTAATAGATAATTTTGTAATATAACTTGTATAAATATACCGGTTTTATGAGCGAATAGGTCTACAACCTATATCGACACTTTATAATATTGTGTCGGTACTTTATGTCCAGATTGGAAGAAAAATGTGTCGATACCATTTAAAAAAGTGTCGGTAATTTTAAGTAACGTGGTTTTCCTTCCTTCATTCAAAATATTTATATGTACATACAATAGGAGTCATGTTGATACTTACGATATATTATATGGAGATCGTTGTCATTCCATTCCGTATTCGAAAAAATCAGTTGATGTAGGCTGTGTGCTTGTACTCAAACTTAGCTTGACTTGAGGACATGTTTTTGTTATGCCCTCACCGTTGCAGTACCCACATCGCCTAATTTTCTTCTCGACCTTGTTCTTCGGTACTTCTTTTCGCTTGCGTTGTTTTCGTTGAGGGTCACGAACATTGTTTACTACAATGCTCTGGTTGACTGAATGATTCAAACCAAACGAGTTTTCTATTAGTTTTCTAATTCTTCTATTATTTTTTTCATCTCATCTCTTGCGGTTTTGAAAGACTCGTCTGTCTTTGATGCAATGTAGCATAACCTACTTGACGTTGAACGTAGAGCAGCGAACTTTGCCATTTGCATCACTTCTGGAGACACATTCAAATCAACATAGTTGGGTGCAGAAGCCTTCGCATCATTACTCCACCTACTTTGAATCAAAGTCCCGGGCAAATATGTGTAGTCCAATTCCTTCAAAATGTGAAGTTGATGGCGACACGGAAGTCCAACGGTCTCGAATTTTTTGCAGGAGCAAATTAGAGTTTTCGTACGAGAATCAAAACTAATTTCAAATTTCCTATTTTTTCTGCGTACTTTGACAAAATATATGTTGACATTCATCTGATAAGGACTTAATCTCTGCCTCAATCCGGTACAATGTCTCCCGTATAAGTTCATCTTAGAACACACGAAAAGATTCGCGGGTAAAAATCGCAGCGGCATGGCTTTCAAGGTCGACCAGTTTTGTGATCTGGAAGGGCTTCGTATGGGAACTTAAGTAATCCGCTTTCAACTCGTTCATACGCATTCTACTAATTCCATCTTCAATTGCACGAACAACATCTAAATATGTCTTCTTGTGTTTCAGTGCAATAGCTAGTGAAGCATTCATAGACTCACACCTTTGTGTTGAGTGAATATTGGCAAGAAATGACCGGTTAGATATGCTTGTGCCATAAGTGTCGTGTATTTCCCTTCTCAATCACCCATGGATGCTTTGGACGTTGAATTCTGAAACAATCGAACGCCATTGAATATCAAATTCCTTGGTTGTCCACCAGGAAGCCATGCATTTTGAGAATGCTGCTGTAACTTTGGGTCACCAATGTTAGCTTGTGCATTGCGAGAAAGATGCCAAGAACATAATCTGTGCTTAGCATAAGGGATAACAGATTTGATAGCCCTCTGCATTGCCCTATCCCATCGGTTACAACGGAAATAGGTGATTTATTCATCATGGCTTCTAAAAAATTCTGTAGCACCCACTCGAAAGATTGAGACGTCTCGTCAGCGATTATGGCAGTGGCAAACACAATGTGTTATGGTGATGATTGACACCAACAATAGGCATAATTGGTCGACCATACAAATTATCTTTGTACGTTGTGTCGAACGCAATTACATCACCGAAGCATGTGTAATCCGATCTCGATGTAGAATCCGACCAATAAGATTATACAATGCCCCCGATTCGTCTACCGAGTATGTCATAAAAAACCCGGGATCATCATGTTTCTTATAATCAAAGTAGGCAATAAGCGCATTCACATCCTCATCGACGATTTCCTTTGCTTTACCTCTTTAAAGTGCATTGTAGAGGTCTTTATTGTAAATCCAACATTATGATAGCCCCTGCCTGCTGCGTTAAATAGTTCATTACTTGTGACGTGCCAACACCGACCTCTTTCAATGTTGTTGCCTCATCGATATCAGTCTTACTTACAGCTCTATTAGAACGCATAAATGGTGTCATAGCAGATGTGCACAATGCATGATTATGTTTGATCAGACTTACTTATAACCCACTGATCGTTTGTATTTGTTGCTGTAACTACGACTCTAGCCTTACATCATGTTCTTGTGACTGGCGTATGAGCACGTTGGCGATCAACAGTATTGACTTTTGATACTCGAAACCCTTCTTTGGAACAACAAAATTCTTGTGTCTTCACATTCCCTTCCATGTCAAGCCGTGTTGTTCCCTTACGTGCACTAAACCCATGTTCCCGTGCGAATCCCTTGTAAAAGTGCCAAGCTTGATCACGTGAACAGAAGAGCTGACCAACCAATCTGTCAGATTCATCAACATTATGTACTTCATGGCATTCCTCGGTTGGCTTAACATTGTCTACATCAGTATTATCCATGGCAAAAATTTTGTTGTGCAAGTTCAGTGCTCCAGAGTTGATGGAGATGTAAGCAAAGGTTCATTTTGAACATGTTTCAGTCGTGCTGCTTTCACTATGATGTGGCATTGGTAGTGGTAGTTAAAGGGTGGGTACAACATTAAATTCGCAGTACATATTTAGGTAACAATAACTACAAGTATATATTATCATTAAATTTAGGTATGTACAATAACTACATATTTAGGTATGTTTGTTAACTACATATTTAGGTATATACATCTTTTGAGTGAGTTTTAAGATATTAATTTAGTAATTATAGGAGTCTAATGATTTATTTTTTACGTTACGGTATATATTATTTTATAAAATATCAAAACAATCAAATAATTTTTTGTGTAAATGAAATTATTAAATTAATATTGTAGGTGGAAAACATGAAACACTGTTAAAAAAATTGAAACATAAATTACATAACTTTTAAAAAAAGTATCGATCATTTTTATAAAAAGTATGGACACTTTCAATATAATAGGTAAACATATGATGTAATAGGTAGCGCTTATATAATGTAATAGGTATCGTTTATATATTGTAAAGTATCTATCCTTTTTATAAAAGTGTCCATACTTTTTTCACTGTGGAAAACATTAATTTAAGGTTATCTTTTGAGTGAGTTTTAAGATATTAATTTAGTAATTATATGCGTCTAATGATTTATTTTTTTACATTACGATATATTATTATTAATTAAAAATTCTAAATATTATTTTATAAAATATCAAAACAATCAAATAATTTTTTGTGCAAATAAAATTATTACATCAAATTACTTTATTCCAACCATGTGACAAGTGTGACAACTCCATCAACTCACAACTCAGCTTTGAACTCAATCAATATTGTCTTTTAGCTTGATGGTTCATAAAGCATGTTACTTGAACAGTATGAATCAATTATGCAATTTTCATGTTCAATTTAACACTGCATTTCAAATTCATTTCATATGTAATTGGAGTTTGAATTTAAATTTCAATTTGAGTTTGAATTTCAATATATATTTCGGCTCCACTATAAATATTAGCCCAAGCCAATATGCATGTTTCATTGATTATTCCTAATTTCCATTGTTTTTTCTAACGTTTAAACGCGAGGGAAATCCAGACCATTGTATTTTTGGTCAACTTTAAAGCGTCAGAAACGTTTCGGGCGTATGATCTGGGTGGTAAACAAATAGCAACTAAAATCTAAGTCCGAAATGCTTCTGAGTACCACCCAAATCATAAGTCTGAAATACTTCCGATGCTCATCAAAATCCTAAGCTCATATGGTGCCAAGCAAAAGGAAATCAAATTCAAATCTCATATGATGCCAAGCAAAGGAAATCAAAATCTACAACTTGAGTTTGAACATTGATATGATATGTTCAGTTGTTATCATTTGGGATTTTCTCGTTTTGATTGCTTGGATGTTGTTCTCTTGCTTCTTCAAGTGTCCTTAGCTTGTAATTTATAGCTTGGAATGTGTTTGATGTTGTATATATTATTATTAAATTAAAAACAATAAACATATATATTACATATTTATTATTATCTTTGGTTAATGTTGTTAAATTAAAAATTCTAAATAATATTTTATAAAATATCAAATAATCAAATAATTTTTTGTGCAAATGAAATTATTAAATTAATATTTTATAAAAAGTATGGACACTTTCAATATAATAGGTAAAAATATGATGTAATAGGTAGCGCTTATATAATGTAATAGGTATCGTTTATATAATGTAATAGGTAATGGTTATATTGTAAAGTGTCTATCCTTTTTATAAAAGTGTCCATACTTTTTTCACTGTGGAAAACATTAATTTAAGATTATCTTTTGAGTGAGTTTTAAGATTTTAATTTAGTAATTATAGGCGTCTAATGATTTATTTTTTACGTTACGATATATATTATTATTAAATTAAAAATTTTAAATAATATTTTATAAAATATCAAATAATCAAATAATTTTTTGTGCAAATGAAATTATTAAATTAATATTGTAGGTGGAAAACATGAAACACTATTAAAAAAATTGAAACATAAATTACATAACTTTAAAAGAAGTATCGATCCTTTTTATAAAAGTATGGACACTTTCAATATAATATATGTAATAGGTAAATTTGCAATACTATCGGTATAAATATACCGGTTTACTTATAAAATAGGTAAATATAAGCACTACCTATTACATTATATAAGCGCTACCTAGTATGTTATTGTACTTTATAATATTTCCGGTTAAATAATATAACATAACCGGTATAAATTTTAAACGGTCACTTATTTAACCGGTCACACCGTATATTAACCGTTTTTTAGGCGCCGCACCGCAGAACTATCCCAGGCAGACCGTTCCGTGGCGGCCACAAATTTCCCAGTTAAAAGAATTAAAATATTTATTTATTTTTATATGAAAGAATGAAAATCAATTTACGAAAAAAAAAAGAGAAGAATAAAATAACCCAAAATTCATTTTTTATATAATTTTAGTCGGATTCAAATTTTCGTTATCAGAACCTCTTCACTTCCTTCACGTCTTTTTTTTTCCTTTTGCAGTTTGCCGACTCTGACATGCGAAATCCCCAATTCATATCTAAGAAAACCCTAAATTCTTAATTTTCTAAAATATATTTTTCACTATTTTATTATAATTATAATAATTCAAGCTCATAACCAATCCCAGAAAGAAGGAAAAAGGAAATGAGCAATTTGAGGACAGTTTGTAGACCGCACATGGTGTTTTCTTCGTTGATGTGTAGTAGCAGGCTCCTCCACCTCCATCAAGCTCGATCCAGAACTAGGGCTTCCTTTCGAAACCCTGATTTCAGGTCGTCTTCGTTCTCTCCGTGGTTCCATGTGTCCAGAAATTTGAACAGGAAGGAACCTTGGTTTCGGATCAATCAGAGGAGTGCTGCCGTTAGGGCTTCGAAATGGTCCGACCAAAAATCTCCCTATGAAACTCTTGGTACTTGTTTTAGCTCGTAAGCGTTATTGGCTCAATGAGAAAAGCACCGTTCTTTTTATAGTTTGGTTTCCAAAAAACGAATTAATTGAACAGTTTTTTTCTTAAAAATTTTCCCCCTGGGTTTGCTAATTGACAAATTATATAGTAATTATTTTGAAACTTTGATTTCTAAAAAACAGAGTTGGAACGGGATGCTGATGAAGAACAGATAAAAACTGCATACAGACGTTTGGCCAAATTTTATCATCCTGATGGTATGTGTATATGTGTATGGTTTCAATATCAGGTCAATTGTTTTTAGGTATTAGCCCTTTGATTGCAAGGTTTTTATGTGGTAATGGGAGATTTTATTCTTAGGAATTATTAGGGGTATCCTTCATGGTTATGAAGTTTCCCATGTGAAACACATATAGCTGCATTAAATAAGAACTCAGCACCTCATACTGTTCAGAGGAGAGTGTAATGGTGTTATGTTAGTTTTAAAACTTAAATGTAACCGGTTCCTGACTCATTTTGGATGCTATGCCTATAATAGATGTTTTTATCTAGTTCACTGGAAATTTGTTGCCACTGCACCAGTTTCTTAAAAAAAATGGCATCTTTTCTTACTAATTGATCGTGTTTCATTTTGAAGTCTATGACGGTAAAGGGGCTCTTGAAGAAGGTGAAACTGCTGAAGAAAGATTCATTAAGATTCAAGCTGCTTATGAATTGCTCATAGATGTGGAGAGGCGAAGGCAATATGACATGGATAACCGTGTCAATCCAATGAAGGTAAAATATGCATTTTTTATTGAATTGAATTTTGCTTCTGAACTGGGTCTAATCAGATGTGCATTTTCCAAGTGATTTGTCATTGCTCTTTTCTGTTCTTGAAATTTTAGATTCAAACTGTGCGGTGAGAGATTTAAAACCCTCAATCCAAATTTATTTTATAATTTTAGACTATATAATCATGCTGTTTACCCTTATAGAAATATATGAGTTAGTGACTTGGTTCATAAAATTCTTAATTAAGCAACTTGAGACTGATCTCCTACTAATTTTGTGGCCAAAATTTAGTGTGGTGAAATTCCAGTTATTCTGAATATTTCTTTGTTAAGTGTTCACAGTGCGGATTATCCTGCCCTTATTTTACTCTGTGTGTGCTAGACCCTATAAGAGTGGCATTTCCTAAGTTTCTCCTTTCTTCCAGGCATCTGAAGCATGGATGGAGTGGCTTATAAAAAAGCGAAAAGCTTGGGATCAGCGTGGAGATATGGCTGTTGCAGCTTGGGCGGAGCAGCAGCAGCGAGAGCTGAATCTTCGTGTCCGCCGTCTTTCTCGTTCTAAGGTACCTACCTATTTCTGAATTTTCTCTAACAGTGTAAATGTACCAGGATGGACTTTCTAAACATTGCCTGGTTTGCCATTGTATTTATGGTAAGTTTTAGTGTTGTACACAATTTATAGCAGTAGATTCTAATTGAAGTACACATGATCTAGAATTGAAGAAATAGATTTCCAATTTTAGATTTTTGATCATTGAGCTTCAAACTAATTCTATAAGACTGTTGATATTACTGTTTTCCATTACCTATACAAAGCTGACTTCTCATCATTATTATATATTTCAGACAAACAAATAGCGAGTCTTTCCTATATTGTATCTGCATATCCTAAAATTTGTATTTGGGTGGAATTTCAGATAGATCCTGATGAAGAGAGAAAAATTTTGGCAAAAGAGAAAAAGGCATCGATGGAACACTTCAACAATACTCTCAAGCGGCATACCCTTGTGCTAAAGAAACGAGATTTGATGCGAAAGAAAGCCGAAGAGGAAAAGAAAAAGGTCATAAGTCAGCTTTTAGCTGCAGAAGGCCTCGAGCTTGAAACAGATGATGAATCTAAGTAGAAAATGTTGTACATATGGTCCCCTTCTAAATTCTTTATGTAGCACCGCCTTTGATCCCCCATAGACATGCAAATTACAGTACTTCTTTGCTTAAACGAAAGGCAAAAAGAGAAAATGTATATAAAATTGTTCCAAGTTAAGAAAGAAAATGTTATTCCTGGTTAATGTTTCCCTTCTCCCCACAATTTTGAATGTGGATGTATGTGCTGTGTTGTGTTGGATGTATGCGACAGAATATGCTGGTGCATACGGTGGCTAAAGGGGTCATGGTGTAGTCCTAGAAGATGCAAATTGATTCTGATTGGACATTTGAATAGAATGCATTCTGAATTATTTGGCACTGGCGCTAGTAGTATTATTTTATTATTTTTCTTTTATAGTTTGGAGTGATTATAAGATAAAAATGTTCACATTTTTTCTTAGTTTATTGACAATTTACATATCCTACAAACGTAATTGTTTAAATTCGAGTTGTTTATGGAGAATAACATTTCCTTTTTACTACATTAATCTTTCAATGGTTTTTTTATTCTATTATTCTACAGTTTTCTAACAAAGGGCAAATGATTTTGCTGGATTACAAGTTCCAAGCATTTGTCACAGGCACGCATGCCAGGTTCGGCAAATAATACAGGTAGGATCTCTTGCAGTATCCAGAGAAAGCCCACAAAAACAGAAAGGTCATATTCAATTTTCGTTGACGTCAATAAACACACTAAAAAGAAAATAATTAAGAAAATGATCAATTAAAAGTTTACATAGGAAATTTGCAAATGGCATTTATTGTTCCATTCTTTTTTCAAGAAGGAAAAGAAACAGAAGCTTTGGCCAACTTTACTTTAGCCATACAGATATTATGAAGTGGATCAGTTAAGGGAAAACAATCGGTTACAAACTTAGTAACCGTGATGGAAATGAAAACAATTTGTTAGACATTGTAACAGTAAAGAAAAACTGTGTTAATGTCGAATTTCTAAGGATAAAAAGTGTTGTTCTGAAAGTTACGTGTCGAGAGATGTCCTACTTGCTTAGGCTAGCATCTTTAATGTAAGTTGAGTGTCTGCTCACAAGGAGTTCAACCAGTGGATCCTCTACTTCGGACCCTGGTCGAGTCTTGTCCCGACGAACTGAAATATTTCTATTTTCTGTTACCACTGTAACCTCCTCTTTCCGGGTCAATAGCTCATTGGCTACGACTGAATGCATTTTGTACTTTTTAAGAGCCATAATGGCCTTCTCCAGAAGAATTTTTGTATCCGTTTCAAGCTGTTGATCAACACCATATAAAACAGAACCAATTAATTCATGATACGTGATACTAAAGTGCATTCGTTTAAATAACCACTTTTAATCAGTCCTTGTTTCCAAAGCAGACATAAAGCATGTGAACAACCGTGTCTGACCTTAAAGGATATGCAGAAAGCCATCGGAGTCCAGTCTGTCCTCAGCACTGAGAGCATCTTCGGAACTTGCATAAGTCGCATGTCCAAAGGGCCAGATGCTGACTGAATCTTGTGCTCTGCCTGTGCAATTAATCAGTATTTTATCCAAAGAAATAGAGATATGCATAAAAGATTATTCAAAATGACAATTATATTTCAGTCTAGAAAAAGATGATTTTAGTAATATCAAATTAATACCATGCTCTTCCAAGGAACATAAAAGTCAGAGACCGCAGCGGCAAGATAAAACATCGCATGACGCTCGAGGCTTCTCATTGATGATGCAATGATCCTTAACATCTTCTCTTGCAAGAAAAACCATTCAGGTTATAAGATATGGTTGCTGTATTTGATGAATTTATGACATTTTTGGTGTAATACCAAAGAGTACACAGGAAAGCTGTTATCTAATTACCATGAGACCTGTATGATTACCAAATATGGAGAAAACTGAAAAAGTACAGTACCCAACATTTTCTCTTGAAATTTAATTCAGAATATCTAACCCTATTTATTCAGAAGCAGGGCAAGGACATGGCTTCTGCCAAAAGAAAAGATAAGAGACCATTGAGTGAAAGCTATTTCAACCAAAATGGTAGCTTACCCATAAAAAAGCATATAATAAAGGCTAAAGCTATCACTATGCTTTGCCAAAAGCAAAGATAAGACACAATTTATTTAAAGCTATTTTAACCAAAGCAGTAGATCACCGATGAAAAAGGATATAACAAAGCCAAAGTTTTAAATGTATTTAACCCTACAATTGGAGCATTACTCACTAAATACACATCATGAGTTTCCAAAGGTACAAAAAGAAATCAACATTGACAATGGATCATTAATATGAACCTCAAGGAGTCGTATGAAAGCTTATTGAAGCCAACCTGAAGATACTCAAATATGGTGGTAAAGGGTAGCTTCAAAAGGAGACCACCTGCGACTGCCTGCAACAAAATGCAAAGAGGCCAACTGTTAAAGCAATGTCGATTTGGTTTGCAATCACAACTAAAAGAGCCAAAAGCAAGATCAAAGATGAAAACTAGAGGAATGATTAATTAGTAATATTGACATCACATACAGCATGGTGATTCCTAATGGCCCCCTTCACTGCTTCAGAATGTGATTGCCGCACTGAAATATTTGACATAACGCAGTAACCTCAGTAGGAAATACCAACACATCATACCATATATTGCAGGTAAAAGCTGGCAGATCAATGTCTTAACATATATATAAAAAAAAGATGGAAATAAAGAACGGCATTTATATTAATTGTTGATTACCCCTCCCCTTCTTGAATTCTTACAAAGTAATCCAAAGCCAATATAATGCAGTTGAGTTATGGCAAAAGTCGAAGTATTGAACTAAGAGAAACATTCCATTAAAAATGTATAATTTAGGGTAAAAATAATCTGCAAACCTTGAAAATCAGAATCATCAGCGACTTCAAAACATTCCAGGAAAGGATCCTCAGGAAGAGAGCTGCAATATGGCTGGCAGGTTCCCCTATGCACAGAATCGAAGAATCAATGCAAAAATCCACTAAACACGACCACAAAATAACCGAACATAATAAACAATCAACAAAAACGAAATTCACCTCCGATACAAAAATATGACCTTGTATTCAGCCTTAATAAAATACCTGCCAAAAAAAAATTCCAATCACTTAAAAACCAGTCCAACATTCAATCAAATATCTCAACTTATTCAAAATTTCTTTGCATTACTCACTCTGTAGAAGCCGCTCCTCTATGCCCTGAACTAAAATTATCAATATACCGAACACACCGCTGCTCCAGTGGAACCGTAGTTCCGCCTGATGTCACGCACACAACCCTTCTTTTTTTCCCTTCTGAGAATTACACAATGGTACACAAATAAGTGCAAACAAACGGCAGGGAAATAGATACACATAATTGATTAGCAACAAGGTTCTGTACCTGAAGATGGAGAATCGCACTGGATGAATTGATTCAATTTATCGGTGATTTTAGCGGAGTCTTTTAGAGGCGGAGCTGACTCAAAGAACGACTCGATCTCCTCGTGAAGAGTTGCGGAATCCATTTCAAGTCCCCTAGAATTAAAAATGCAGAAACATAATACTAAAAAAATTAATACAAAAAAAGAGTGAAAAATGAATTGGTAGAGAAAGTTACCTTAAAATTAAGAAAATAATAATGGAGAAATGGGAAACTAAAAGGGCAAGTGAGTATGCAACGAGTGAAAACACTGGCCATAGGGATGCTTATAAATAGGAGAATCACAGAGATTCAACCAAACAATTGTTTATCCTTTCAATTTTTTACTTTGGAAACTTTGGTATTCGATTTTTCGAGTTTTTTTCCCCTTGTTAAAGGGTTCTTTTGAGTTTGTATTAAATAATTAATTTAGTGTCACCGTACATAATATTCAATTTAATTTTTAAATTTATGATTAGAATTAATTTGAATTTTTTTAATAATATTGATCGTTAATATATTAATATAATCGTTAAATTATTGAAGAATTGTCCGTCCAATTCAGTTGGTAGAGCGCAAGGCTTTTAATCTTGTGGTCGTGGGATCGAATCTCATGGTGAGTAATTCATAATTGGAAGTCTTCCACGGAAGCTGCGTGTTTGGGGCAGCCTACTACCCTACCTCCCCTATCCCATTACATATGAGAATAGGATCAGCTAATAATAGTTAAATTATTGATATAATAATTTATAATATAACATTTGAATTTTTTTAATTGGGGGACGACGTTATTTTTAAAGTAGTCCAAAATTTTAATTGGTTTTAAAATATTAAAAATAAAACTTCAAAGAATATACAGAATCAGAATGTAATCAAATTAGACATGTAGATGACGAAACGAGACTGAAGAAAATACAAACTCAACACTACTTAGAACGATTCACACAGGCAAGATTACTGGCAATCATCTTAAGTAATAATTTCACGCAGAATCAATAGCCATGATAGAAATAAAATAGATCGAGCACTAACATTATGGCATATTGCAACATAAACAAAACTCCAACCAAAAACAGTTAAGCTTGAACACATAGAGTTGGATCCACAATTTCTTGCTTGCTATGAAATTTAAATTTTTTCCGGTTAGTTATTTATTTTATTAATTTTTTTTATAAATTTTTTTTTTATATTTATTTATTCAAAAGTTTTATATTGTTAATACATATATTTATCGTCAAAAATATTTTTAAATCTATCATTAAACATTAACATCTAAGAATTAAACACTAAGAACTACACATAAAAATCTGTCACAAGGAACATAAGATATCAAGCCATCTTTAGCAAATTAAGCATGGGGATGTCTAAGGTACGACAGCCTTAATATACGACTAAGGAAATACGCTACTGGAAATGTTAATATTTTTTAAACATTTTCGGTAAAGGGTTATCTAAAACATTATTTCCTCTACCGGAAATATTAATATTGGACGCTACCTAAAATGTTTAACATTTCCGGTAAAGAGTCACCTAAAACATTATTTTTTCTACCGGATACGTTAATATTGGGCGCTACTTAAAATGTTATTTTTTCTACCGGAAATTAGGTAGAGAAATTAACATTTCCTGTAAAAAAATATTTTAGGTAGTGCTTTATCAAAAATGTTAAAAATATATTAACATTTCAGCTAAGACCTTTCCTTAACCGTATAACAGAACTACCCATTAAACACTCGTAGATAATTTGTTAGTTTCACCGT